GAGCGCCATGGGAGTTTGAGCTTCGGGAAGATCCCTAATTTCTAGGGTTTCGGAAATCTTTTGGAGGAAATCGTGTTGATGGCGGGGTGTCTTTGTGGCCAAGGGTACAAGGGTTATTTTGCAATAAAGAAATTGGGAAATTTACATGAAGTGAAACTTATTTTTTAAGGGTCTTGTCAATATTGTTCCCAAAAGTTTCTAAAAGAAAAACTTTGAGTTTAGTATCGTTTGGAAGTTTTATTAGGAGGGTAGAGGAGTGAAATGAGCGAGAATTTTACACTAAAATATCTTACACCCTAAATTGGAGGTAAATGGGGGGGGGGGATTCCCTACCATTCCTTTTCTTCCATTAGTGAGCTCCCAAACACAACATTAATAAATCTTCATCAATATTTTGACGCTACTAATTTACATGGTGTTAGTTGCTAACCGCACGTGGTAAATTACATTTCTACCCTCAATTTACTCTTTCTCCTAGAAAAACTTCCAAAAATTAGAGAAACGGGTGTGAAGAAATAAGCTTAAATGGGCTGGAGAGAGGTATTAATCAATGTTTTAAGAAGCAGGTTTCTCACCCGTCTAGTTGCTTCCCTAGATATATGATGTACGTAAACCGTCCGCTTAGGTTTTGGAAGTACCTACAAGAGTGTGATTTTTCTTCGTTGTGACCTTTATGTCCTCTAACCTCCTCCGAACTCCTCAACTAACTATGAACACCTTATCCACCTCCGACTTTCAAAACACCTCCACCACCACCATTTAAACAAAAAAAGAAATCCGGCTCTAGTCTGTCGCTTAGCACTGTCTAACTTATTCTATAACGTTGGCATTTATCGTCAAGTATTGTAATTAAACAAATAAAAAGATTGAAAAACTGTCATAGGCTGTAGGTGTCAAGACCGGCACCTACGTTGCCTAGCGCTTTTTGTAACCGTGGGTATAACTAGGAGCCCATCACAAACAAATAAGTTAAATAAAATATTCTAAACTAATAACTTTTTAAAACTGCTTACAATTAGCCTAATTATTTCCCCCCCTAACTACGCTAAACGCCACCGGAGGTGTAATTGGTTTTGCCTGACAGCATATTTATTTACAATAATAATGATGCCAGATAAGATGGAAAGATGATAATATCGGAGGCTAGTTGGGTTAGGGGGTTTAGGTTTAGAAGAGAAAGCTTTCTAGCCTGCTGGGATTAATTCTAGCGAGTCAATATTGTCAACGGCGCGCTCCAATTACGTACGGTTCCACTATTTGCTCTACTTCGTATTACATATTGCAAAGCTCATAATTTAGGGGTGTACAACGGTCGTTTCGGTTCGGTTTGTTAGCCCTATAGTTTTGATGATGATTTGTCAAACAATTTATCGTTAATCTATTCTCTAGTTTTTGTTGTTTTGTTTTTCTCTTTACAGGTAATTCAACACACGATAATCAAGCGTTAAAGATTCAAGTTCATGTGTGTGCATTCACCTAGGTATAAGTTTAGTTTACTTACGTATATCATATGTTTATATGTAAGCTCAATATATGTGCACTTAACACATTTTTGACGTTTTCTATCAAATAAATGATTTCTCATCAAACTTCGTTACAATAGTTTTTATTTCATGTTTACAGCTCCATTTCACAGCTTGTCTATATATAATATACCTAATGAATATTATTCATATTATATATATATATATATATATACGTTATATATATATAGTGATATATATATAAAACCTTATTACAATTCTCGCGGAGCAGACATCTCTGGGCCGGACCTTTCCATCGCCAGCCTTTAAATCTCTTTTCAGTGTTTTGTGCTTCGGGCGTTCCGACCGCCGGAGGATTCCGACGGTCGACTGCCGATCTTAATAATTGCTTTCCAACGGGCTATTTTTTTCTCCGATTTGCATTTTCCTAGGGCTGTTTTCTGGTCTTTTTCAAGTTGTTCTGGCTTGATTATTTTGAGTGGTATAAAATACCTTTATTGCTGCTCTCTTTTCAAAGAAACCAAGTTTTTGTCTGTTACAGTTGAAGCTTTTAACCAATAGGACTCTTAAGGTTGTTTAAAGAAGAGCGGTTTAAGCGGTTTCTGATCATCTGCTTTAAAAGAAGTCTGCTACAACAAGAAGAGGCCTTCCATTTTCAACTGAGGATCCTATCCTCATCATCCTCTACTGTTCTTATTGTTTATTGAAAAGTTTTCCTAACTCATCTTTTTCATATAGCTTATAATTTCATTTTCATATCTTAGCTATATTTTTGAGTTACATATTTTTTCATTCACTGTTATCACACACAATATTGAGCTTAATATCTTCATATTATATAGTGTGGGTTGTGGGGTGTGATTTAGTGAGTGTGAGCTTCATTTGCGTTCTCATTTATTGTTGAGAACAAACCATTGTATTTAATCTTTATTTGTGAGTATCACTTGTAATACACTTGTACACCGAGAGAAGTGTGAGGCGAGAGACGGGGTCGAGTCCAATAGGAGTGGCGTCGATTGACGAACCTAGGGAGAGGTTACATCCGAGCACTTGAGGAGGAGGACACGGGTTAGATTTCTACACTTAGTATGTGAAGTGTGATTGCATAGTGTGAGAGTTTTCGGTAAGCTTGTAAACCGAATGTGTAGAAGTTCCGGCTTCCAAACCGGATTGTGATAGTAGAGATCTCCTCGAGGTGAGGAGCAGGGACGTAAGTCGTGGTGACCGAACCTCGTAAACATATCTTTTGTTTGTGTTTTGCTTAGCGTAGTGCTTATTCATATCTTTCTTGCTCATATCTATCTTATATCATTCGTGCAAGAACAAATTAATCAATATTACTTTTAATTAGCATTTAATCGGATTAGATTAACATAAGACCCTAATCACCCCCCCCCTCTAGGGTCTAACAGATCGATCATGGAGTATCACCCCAAGTAGTGGTGCTGATGATACACTATCATTTTCGGATGCAGGTATAAAAATTAGTTAATATTTTAATATATTTTATAAATTATTAGTTATCTAGCTCATTTCTAACTTCATCAAACTTCTTATCAAACAACAAACTGTGTTAAAGAAAAAAAGATATCAACAAAGTAGAAGATTATGAAGCAATAAACACTGATATAATAATATTGTTTTTAACCCATAATGATTCAGAAAATGAGTTTAAGGTTTAAGTGTTTGACTTTTTGGGAACGGGTCGGGTAGGGTTTGAGATCAGAATTGGTAGTATTACACTATATTCGGTCGGTTCGTGTCGATTCGGGTTAAAAAGTTTTCAAACCGACCCGCACCGCCCTACTCATAAAACTATTTTTTCCGGGTCGGTTCGGGTCGGTTTTTTCGGTTTGGACCGAACCATGCTCAGCCCTAGCTCATATATTAACATTAGCAATGACTACAGATACCATCTACCAAATATATTGTTATCTTGTCACTTAATTACAATTATACTTCCACAGGCAGCAAGAGGAAAAACAATTTGCTCTCGGGCGAAAGGACTTTCTTCATTAAGTACTATTTACATCCAGAAGCAAACTGAGAGTACTTCAATATGAAAAGTAGAGAACTAACCCAGAAAGAAATTGCTGAGAACTCAACAAGGAGCTCTCGTAAATTGCATATCACGAAAAGAGCATAGCAACATTTCAGAGTCTTCTGTACACTTTTTATTGACGACAAGGAAATTGCTGCCAAACTCGAGGTTTGACTCGAGGTTTGTTTTCGCTTCCAACTCTTGGTTCTGCGGATTTCCATTAAAACCCTGAAAAAAATTATACACCAACAAAAAAGAATCAAGCAGCAGCATTGGGGGTTCATTCCAGAAACCCCCTAAAAAAATGTGAGATGCAGTGACTGTTTCAGAGTAACATGGATGCCGGATTCTCTATGTAGCCCTTGAATGCTTTCAACCATTCCGCTCCAATTGCACCTAAAATTAACCAGAATTTAGCGTCAAAATGATGCTTAATGAAAGATGGCGTCAACAGATGAAAATATTTAGAAAGAGAGGTCTTAGAGAGGGCGACGTTTACCATCAATCACACGGTGATCGCAGCTCAATGTTACCGACATAAAGGAACCAAAATAATATTGATCGGGACCAGCACCCGGAATAACCCTTCTCTCAGCTGCTCAGGCACCATAAAAACATGTCATAAGTTTAAAGATATCATGCAAAATGCCTGTAGTAGGTCACTGTAGACATATTCGCTTTGTTATAGACAGATGCATCGTGTTGGATGATATTGAAGATTTATCAGATACGTGAAGGAAAAAATGGATCAAAATCAGTGCAAAATTTGAATGTGGAAAGCAGTACCAGAGCCCACAGCAAGAATGCCAGATTGAGGAGGATTTATTATGGCGCAGAATTGTTTGATCCCAAAGGGACCTCCCAAATTTGATACGGTAAATGTGCCTCCCTGCATATGCAAAAGCTCAACAATTGTCAAACTTGAATAACGTAGTATGAAAAGTGATGCCATCTGGTAATAGTAGTCCCCACCTCGTAATCAGCTGGTTTCAGACTGTTGTCTTTGGACTTCTGGGCTAATTGTTTAACCTCTTCCGAAATTGTTGCCAATCCCTTTTTATCTGCATCCTGCAGAATCAGTTATTTGTATTATGAATGAGCAGAATAAATATGGTAAAGTGTCCTCATTTGAATCCTTTATTAATGTCAGATGAATGCAAATAAATAAATAGCAAAGATTCTCCTATCATCCTTCTTCCATACGCTTTCTCACTCTAGAATATTTTTTAAGGTTACTCCTTGCTTACATGATCTTAAACAGCATTATCAGCAATTAGAGTTTCCTCACTACCAGTTTACGCTACTGGTTTTTATAAGAAGTCTCCTGTGTCCAACTTTCCCCAGCTAGGAAACTCATACAACTCAGAGCTCAAAGAATTGAACCGTCATTATCCAGCTTCTCAGTTAAGAGTTTTGCTCCAGATCTGACCCATCTTAATGGTAAAAGGCTTAGATGATAGTGATTATATCTGTTTGTTGGAAAATTTGTAATAAAAGGATTGAAGGAAAATTTGATTTGTATTCCTTAGATCTCAGTTACAATTGGATTTCCTGATTACAAAAGAGAAGAGAATGATCTGAATTCTCCCCTTTGTTTAAAACTGGGTTCTTCACGGTGGCGATGGAGTGCTTCCCTCGAATGCTCGCGTCCTTCACGGTGGCGATGGAGTGCTTCCCTCGAATGCTCGCGTCGAGTTTGCTCTCCGTTGACGATCCGACATTTTGCTTCACTGGAACGATGTTTTCTCCTCACGGTTTGACGTTGTGGAGAACTTACAAAGCAAGTTTTAGAACTCTGAACGAGTTTAGAAGAACTCTGAACGAGTTTAGAAGAACTCTGTAAAAGAGTTGATTTGAACCGAAAATCGGTTAGTAAGCCAAGGCCAGAAGAAAGCTCCGGTGATCGATCTCCAGATCCGAGAATGCTCCAAAGATCCTCTCTTTGCTGCCAAGCTCCAAGGTCAATCCGAGCCAAGAAATTCTAACCCTTAACTCAGTTGAGTTTCTTCTTATTTATAGGGGATTAAGGGGGTGTAACCACCCCTTAAATCACTCCTAAGTGGGGTGTAACCGTCCCCAAATTGTGGGAAACAGTTTTAGAACTGTTCAAGAGTTTAAGGGGTGCAATCCCCCCTAAAATCTCTCCATAATGGGGTGTAACCGATCCCATTAAGTGGAGATACAGTTTTAAAACCGTATAGGTTCTGTTTGAACCAGTCAAACACAAAAAACGCAGGTCTGACCCCCGCGTTTTGATGTTGCAACGCAGGTCCGACTCCGGCGTTTTGATGTTGACACGCGGGGAGGACCTCCGCGTTTTGGTGTTGACACGCAGGGAGGACCTCCGCATTTTGGTGTTGCAACGCAGGTCCGACTCCAGCGTTTTGTTACTGACACACGGGGAGGACCTCCGCGTTTTGGTGTTGACACAAGGGGAGGACCTCCGCGTTTTGTTCTGGGAGTTTGGAACGCGGCCACGAGCTATGCGTTTTGAATCTGGGACGCATAGGTGAGCTCCGCGTCTGAATTTGAAGAGACCGTCGATTTATAATCTCTTTTGCTAGAGCGTTGCAAAGATCACCATCTTGTAATCTTTATCTTGGCTCCTTGAAAATATGAGAGTCGTTAAATTGTAACTCCCGGTGTTGATTGTGAAGACTGTTGATTAGAGTTTTCATCGGTTGTCGTGAAGGTCGTCAGATTGTAACCTTCATCGATCTACGTGAAAATCTTTAAATTGTAACCTTCTGGAAGTCGTCAGATTGTAACCTCCATCATCGGCATTTGAAGGGGGATCAGCTATCTATTGTGATTTTTAGACAGCCTACAATATCGAATAAAAAAAAACAGCAGACAGGAAGTTAAGAATATATTGATGGCACTGGTACCTTGATAACAGGAACAAACAGTCCATTGTCAGTTTGCACGGCAACATTAATGTTCACATTGTTATACCTGAATAAATTTAAAAGAAAAAAACAACACTTTTAGAGCGATTACTACTAGCTTGTGGTGTAGAATGGAATGAGAGTTATCCAAAACTTACTGGCGAATAAAATCATTCATCCAGGAACTATTACATGCTGGAACTTTCCGAAGAGCCAAAGCAGCAGCCTGATGATAAAAAACTATTCATTATTAAAGTTTTTTGCACATATCACTATTAAGTCATATCAAAGTTGCAGAAATAAATAAAACATTACCAACTAGCAAATCTACCCTGCTAAGACCAACCATTAAGTAATGAATACTAATTTGTCCTCTTATCAATTTAAAGTAATATAAAAAAATGCAGGTGCAACTGTTAGCTAATCTAGTCTACAACTCTATATATTCTCATGAAACCACTTCATATTTAAAAAGAAAAAAGATGATGACGTTGTCCAATGTCCTTGTCTTGTTCATCTTTGGCAAAGTAAAAGTGCATATGCATGTGAATAAGAAGTGCATATGCATCCATTAACACATTTGGTAAAACTACTCAAACATGCAAAAGAAAGTATGACTAGTGTTTATTTATTAAATAGTCTGGCACCTTATTCAGATTTATGGCACCTTATTCAGATTTATGCATAAATAAATTGTTATAAGACTCCGAAAAATTGCACACGACTCTTCTACAAACTCAGAACTTATAAAAGTAATTAAAAAAGAACAATAGACTCTTCTCGAACAGGACCTTATCTATCAAACAAGAAAGTTTCATTATATAAGCATGACTTGCCATGTTGGTTGGATTTATGCCAAGTTTTTCATTTGAAGCTCAGATCCAGCCCCCTTAATTGTTGTCAAAAGACTTAAAACCAGACAAGGCAAAACTGGCCAGTTACCGGTCTGGTTCAGTAGAGAATCCGAAAAATGTACAAAACCGCATGAACAGGCCAGTGCAGCTTATGAAAATTGAGCCGACTATTTTAGTAAAATTGAGCTGACTATTTTAGTGAAATTCATCAGATCAAAAAGTCATTAAATGATGCTTTTGGTATTACCAATTTAATTAAAATGGTTCGGATAGGATGGAACCTATGCTAACAGGAAAAGATAACATTTTTTTATTAATATATAAGAATTACGCATCTGTGCACATTGCTAAAGGATATTTCTCCTATGTAAACCCTCTTCAATTAATGTGAGTAGACGGATGAAACATGGAGAGGACTGCATGCTGAACCTAAAAGTATTTACAGTCAGAAAAGCAACAGTCAATTGGTCAGGACAGGATGGAAGAAAACAAATTTTACCTGAAAACGATTTCATTGGTCTAAATTCAGTGGAATGTGCTTCCAATTATCAAAACATGACTATGATAAACTGAGCAAGAAACACAATTTAAATTCAGTAATGTGCTTCTGCCACTTCAGTTACTTGTCTAATTTTTCAGCATGGAGAACTAAATTGTTATTTCAACACTGCAAGTACAACAGAAGTGACATTTTCGTTAACACAGCAAAGTTATAATCCTTTTAAAACAGCAACAACATCTAAATTCCAGCTTCTAGGTGGCATTCCCGGATAAAAATAGCACAAGACGTTAGAAAGACAGGATACCTTTATCACAAGATCATTCACAGAAATTCTTTTTCCACCGGAAGCTTCTTGTAAAGAATTAAGTTGGCTTCGCAACCTGCACATGACACCAACATGAGTGATTTCTAAAGTGATGAACAGAGATAACAAAGAAAACCAGATACAGCAACAAAAACCTTAAATAGATACTCACTCCATAAGTTTGTCTACACGAGTATCTACTGTTAAATAGTAATGAGGAATGGTTTGCTTAGAGAGCAGCAAGCGTGATGCTGTCACCTGCAAACAAGAATTACATTCATTGTGTAATCACTCACTTAAAAATCTAAATAGAGCAATAAAAGACGTAAACTATGAGAAATATGATTACTTTTCTTATCTGGGAAACAGGAATGTCTGCATAATTTAGTGCTTGAACTGCTGCTGTATCCTCCTCTACCTTAGAACCCTTAGCGGCCGATGCTAAATTATCAAACAAAGTATTATCAAAGAGAATGAGTCAGCAAGTGTTAGGTGAAAGTTGACTATATAGTACATCTCGAATTGGCTCTCTAGGGAAAAGGTAAGATGTTGGCTCTCTAGGGAAAAGGCTCCAAATGAAATCAAAAATAATTTCAGTGAAGTAAGCCTATAAGTGTCATTGCATAATGAACAGAAATTAAATTATAATGAGTAACCATCACTATGACCTAGCAGTATTCTATAATTAAGAATAAATATTCAGAGCATGAATGAAGCTTAATGAATCAAACATAGCATTAAATCTTCATAGCATATGTTTCCGATAAAGTCCATAAGAAAAGGATAAGGTTTATCTGAGAGGGAAATAAGCATGAAAAAACATAGCATTAAATCTTCATAGCATATGTTTCCGATTTACTAGATATTCTCAAAACAAGCTAAACTGTAAAAATAGGGGGTCTTTTAACCCAAAGTTTTACCCCAACTTATTTAAAAACCCACTCACTTCCATAAACACCGATACACCCAAAGTAACTCATGTGACTTATTTATAAACCCAATCTGTAGTATACCCTCCAACTTTATACTGTATTTTCCAAACAAATTCTCAAATCTCAAAATTGCGCTTCTTCCCCAAATAAACCCAATGCTTCTCTCTCTCTCTCTCTCTCTCTCTCTCTCTCTCTCTCTCTCTCTCTCTCGATTTCACAAAACACTAAACCCTTAGAGTTGATCCCTAAATTCTAGGTGAAGTCAATCCATAAAATCCACTGAAGTTGAATACACACTATAGCACTTTATACGAAAACATAGCTCTTTATGAGCAAAGTATAACATCTTATAAAAAAGTGTAATTTTTTATGACTAAAGTATAACTTTTTATTATTATAATATAGCTCTTTATTGGTTCTCGAACATGGAAGAAATCTAGTGTGCACTATGCCATCAATAAAATTGCTGGAAAAAATAGAGGAAGATTTAGTATTCATTGGCCTAATTAAGATAAAAATATGACAGCTTAATAGTTATTAATTTTTACTGAGGAAGTTAACACTATATTCGAAAACATAGCTTCTTATGAGCAAAGTATACCATTATATACAAAAGTATAACTCTTTACGACTAAAGTGCATCTCTTCATCACTGTAGTATAGTTCTTTATTGATTCTGGGACTACAAAAAAGAAATATTTAATAATTACAAATAGAAATCATATTATAATTAAATTATTGTCTTTTATGAGGAGAAATATTAATGGAAGAGTGTTTTATTAGGAAGAGAGGAAATTAATGGAGGAAAGCAAGATTTTGAAGAAGATAAATATACTAAATTGCGTTTTGGGGAGTGAGGGGAGAAACACGCAAAAATAAATTTCCCTGCATCATCATTAAGGCGATGTGAGTGGAGCATGATCGTTGTTTAGAAGAAGAAAGGAAAGGGACATTTTGGATTTGTTATGGGAGATCCAGTATTCATACTTTGAGGGTATACTACATGTTGGGTTTAAAAATAAGTCACATGTTGGGTTTGAAAATAAGCCATATGGGATTCTATGGAGGTATGAGTATTTATGGAAATAGGTGGGTTTTTAAATAAGAGCAAAACTTTGGATTAAAAGACAAAAACCCATTAAAAGTATGAAACAGAAGCTGATCTCTACTCTGTAGTTGAGTAGACTATATGGTTGCAGTAGGTTGTCTCCCACCCCCTAACACCCCAGAAAAGTAGAACGAAAAGGTTAAATTCCAATGTCTGGTTTCAAAAGAATGCAACAAAAATATATATGCTATGGAGTGGTGATAGTACATTTCACCGTGCAGTAATATTACAGAAGACGCTAGGCGGACTAGGCGTTTGAGCCAGCGTCTAGATGCTTAGGCTTCGTTTGGGTACCATGGTGTTTTTTTTTTTTTCAAAAAAAAACATGGTGTTGTGTTTTTCCCTTAAAACGTTTTCAAAACACCATGTTAAGTATTTGTGGTTAACGCTAGTTTGACCCATTACAACATTAGTATTAAACATATTATTAATATATTATATATTAATTATAATAAAATATATTATAAATAAAATGTTATAATATTTAGTTTACATTATTATAGTATTAAAAGTATTAAATATAATGCAATATAAAATTGTATAATGTATTATAATATTATATTGTACTTAATGATATATATTATATATATAATTATTCATCTTATTCTTTCACAATAATTATATATTTAATTATTTTGGTAAATCAATTTGTTATGGTTATATATTATAATTAATATTTTTAATAATAATGTTATTTTATTATTAACTATAATATTATACTAATTATTAAATAATATCAATTTATACTATTATTCATATAAATAATATTATTAATAATGTTAAATATTATTATATTGCTTATTATTTATTATTAAATATGTTACTATTATATAATATTTTAATAATTATCTATTTATTCCAGGCTTTATTTATAAAAAGTGTTAATAATATTATAGTGATTATACTAATTGTGTAGTATAATTATATTAGTTATTATTATATTATTATTTATTAATGCAATAACTTTTTTTTTTATATTAGTTTATTTATATATTATTGATTATTATTTGTTATATATATATCATTGTTAACTATTAATACTTGATTTAATATGTTTATATATATTTTTATATAAGATATTTTATCTATTTATATTTTTATATTATTAATAAATATTAGATTAACTATAGTATATATATATATAAATGATATATATTATATATATAATTATTCATCTTATTCTTTCACAATAATTATATATTTAATTATTTTGGTAAATCAATTTGTTATGGTTATATATTATATTAATATTTTTTAAATAATGTTATTTTATTATTAATATAATATTATACTATTATTAATATAATATCAATATTTACTATTATTCATATAAAATAATATTATTAATAAGTTAAATATTATTATATTGTTATTTTTATTATTAAATATGTTACTATTATAATAATATTTTATAATTATCTATTTAATTCATCAGTTTATTTATAAAAAAGTGTAATAATATTTAGTGATTATACTAATTGTGTAGTATAATATATTTATTATTATTTATATTATTATTTATTATGTCAAATAACTTTATTATTATTTATAATTTGTTTATTTATATATTATTGATTATTATTTGTTGATATATATATCATTGTTAACTATTAAATACTTGATTTAATATGTTTTATATATTTTTATATAAGATATTTTATCTATTTATATTTTATATTATTAATAATATTAGATTTTAAACTATAGTATAATATAGCTATAGTATAATATAACTAGTTTGCGGTCCGTGCAAACAGCCACGGTTTTTTTTTTTTTTTGCTACAGTATCCCACCTTTTTAATATGCTATGATTTGAAATTTGTGAAAATCTACAGTATCCCGCTCTGCCTACAGTACCTTTTAAATGGCTACAGTATACCGGTGTGGCTGCAGTAATATTTTTCATTAATTATTAGCTATATAGTACTAGTGCTACAAGTAATGCTACTGTGAAGTGTATTTACATGTCGCAATGACAGTTGTGAATCTCTAATCTGCCTATTTGTTAATAGTGAATAGATTTATAATACATATATAACAATATATATACATATATATTATATATATATATATATATACTATATGTATAATGATAGAGAGACGAGAGAGAGAGCAAGACTTCCTATCAACTTAAGTGAGATAGGAAAGTTGTCCACCAAACTTTCTATCCACACATATATATAAGTCACTCTCATATCATGCAAGGATCGCCTAGAAAACACTCTAAATGGTTACAGAGTTTGGTGGATGTCAACTTAAGTTGACACACAGTTTTTCTTCTATATATATATATTAATATATATATATAATTAATATATATATATAATATAATATATATCATATACTATAGGCATGTAGATAATAACTATATATTAATTACAATTAATATATTATGTTAGATATTATATTAACATATTCTCAAACTCAAAACCAAAACACCAAACTTAAAACACATTTTAGGTGTTTTGAAATAAATGTTGTGTTTTTGGTTTAAGGATGATTTAGTTTAAAAAACACCATGGTTTTCAAACGCATGGTGTTTTGTTATTGGCAAAAACATCATGAAAACAAGTAAAACACTATTATATCCAAACGGAGCCTTAGGCGATGCCTAGGCATTTCGCTATTTTTTAAATTATTTAATTATAATAATTGATAAAAATATGTATTAAATTTATATAAATTTTCTTAAAAAAGATAGCAATCTTAGATCCACAATAAACCATGCATACATAAATACTAAATAGCCAAAATAATAAGTAATAAGGTTATAGAAAGCGCTAGGAAGCCTAGGCGTTGGACCCAACGCCAAGAGTCTAGGAGGCTTTCTTTTTATTTTTTTATTTATAATAATTGATAGTAAATGTTAATGTTATAGAAAGCTTAGGTGTCGGACTGGTGTCTAGACAAATTTCTTTCTTTCTTTAAGTGGCGGTCAAGGAGGTTTTATTGAACATCAAAAGAGGTAGTGGAGGTGTTCATATTTGAAGGTTAAAGAAGTTTGAAGGAGGACAGAGAACGTCAAGGCTGCAACACAGAAAATCACGATTAAGGCCTAAATAGTGCAATTCACGTAAGCAGACAACGCTCCCCTAAAAACTTTCAAAACCTAGGTGGACAGCCTACGTACCGCCTAGACGCTAGGCGCTAGTTAGACAGCTTAGGTACTGCCTAGGCCTAGGCGTACACTTAGGCGGACTAAGCGGAGGCTTTTTAAAATAGTGTTGTGCAAACTATTAGATAAAATTTTATAACCAAATCTCATGCTACTATGTGAAGCTTAAGCTTCTCTTATTACATCCATCATTCCCGGTTGAACTGTTAATTGTTGGCTTACAATGTATGCAAAAAGAAAAAAGAACTCAGGTGCCCTTATGATGATGAAAGTGTGTAGATTACCAGGTAAATTTCTACCTCTTACCAAAAANCTCTCTGCTATAGTAAATATTGTGATGTGCAGAATGAAATTATTAACACATACAAAAAGATAATAGATAATACATAATGTTAGAATTTAAAAACTGAAAGTTCATACCTAAGTAGTCCTCAACATCAGCTTTCAAAATGCGTCCATCAGGACCAGTACCCTTTATGCTGGAAAGAGGCACCTGCATGTGACTATGTGAGGGAGAGGTGCCACAAGAAATGCTTTCATTGCTAGATCAAATGTGTCAAAGTACTTTACATTGACCAGATGCTCAAAACAAATCACTCAATTCTTCTAACTAGAAGTCATGATTTGTTTATCCAATAAAAATCTAGTTTAAATATGAGAAAACAGTTTATTATCTCACACTGTTATCTTCTGCCAATTTTCGTGCAAGCGGACTAGCGAAGAGACGTTCTCCTGCATGTGAAGTTCCTTCAGGCCTTGAAACCTTGGGCTCAGGAGCTTTTGGAGGCTCTGGCTCTGACTTCTTAGGTACAGTAGTCTCAGGTGATGGGCTGGATTCAGCAGGCGCAGCAGGTTGGGAAGCTTTATAATCTTTAAATTTTCCAATGTCATCTTCTTCCTCAACAGTTATAGCAATTATCTAATCCAATACATGATTAAGCTTGGGTTAGAAAAAGACAAGTCATCTGGAGGGAAAAAGGTAAACCTTTTGCTCAAAGAAAATCGCACAAAGCACGACTGATGTCATCAAATAAATATGGGCTAATTCAGTTATCAGAATTTGAACCAACCAATGTCCTTACTGTTCAATGACTAAAGAGGCAGCTCTAAACAAATTTATTTATGAAGTGTTGATAGAGCTTTTCTCTTGATAATGTAAACCATGTCCATGACCCTAAGATTTATCATCATTTGTATAGTTTAAAGAATCCATTATCACAATGTGAATTCTTCCAACAAAAGTACCACAAACATGTCATCTAATGGTGATTGTACTTCTGTTCGAATTTTCACAATTAAATAATTGCTTTCGCAAGCTCGCGTAAAAGAGCAACAAAATTTTATAGAGAGCAGAGGAGAAAGAACGTAGATGGCATTGGAAGTAAATGAGAAGATGACAAAGGAAAGAAGAGGAAAATGCAAGGCAAATATGGAGGAAGAGGGAACAAAATAAAATAAAATAAAATAAAAGTTATACACCCCGAGTCAACACCACCTACAACTAATAAAGAGAATCGATAAGTTATTTCAAGAGATAGGGGATTTAGACCTTCAACCCTAACATATTCATCTCATTTCCTGTAAAGACACAGCAGCAGCAACACGAAGAAGTGGAGAAAACAATATGAGCACTAGTAGAAAATCCCACATTCTAGACGGCATATTCTAGACGAAAATTTTTCAGTCTAGTTTGCTATTAAACTAGACGGAAATTTCCGTCTAGGATATTCCGTCTAGGAAAATGTATCCTTAACGAAAATTTCCGTCTACAATAACAAAGTAGACGGTTTTAGTATTTTTTTTAATTTTTTTAATTAGGGTTAGCATCCTAGACGGAAATTTCCGTCTAGGAAGCATCCTAGACGGAAATTTTCCGTCTAGGATGGTAGGTCCCACAAGAGCGCGCCCTTCCCCCCAAAATTTCATCCCCAAATTTCGTTTCCCCGCCTAAATTCTCAAACTCTGAAATAAAATCTCCAATCACCGCCTCAATTTTATTCCCAAATTACATGATTCGGAGGGACAACCGCCGCCCTCCTCTCCGAC